GAAGGGAAGGGAAGGGAAGGGAAGGGAAGGGAAGGGAAGGGAAGGGAAGGGAAGCAGAGAGGAAAGAAAAGAGTGGAGGGGAAGAGAAGGATAAAAGGAAGGGAAAGGGATAGAAAAGGGGAAAGGGGAAGAAAGAGATATAGAATGGGAAAGAAGTAATCAGGCAAGGGAAAGAGAAAGAGAAGGGGAAGGAGAAGGGGAAAGGAAATGGAAGGGGAAATGGAAGGGGTAGGAAAAAGGGAAAGAAAATGGAAGGAAAGGGGGGAGGAAAGAGGAAGGGGAAAGCGAAGGAGAAGGGGAAAGGACATGGAAGGGGAAAGGAAAGGGGTAGGAAAAGGGTAAAGGGCATGGAAGGAAGGGGAAGGGAAAGAGAAGGGGGAAGGAAAGGGGCTGAGAGCAGAGGAAGCCAGGCAGCAGTTCTGCTCCTCTCCTGCAACCCCGGAGCAGCCCAAGAAGGTTTCCAACCCTGCTGTTTGCAACCACAGCCTCGAGGTTCTCCCCGGGCCGCTCACGGCGCGCTGAAGCCCAGCAGCCATCATCACTCGGGCGCTTTCTGTGTGATTTATGTCTCCTTCCGTTCCTAACCGAGCGCCAGGCCTGGAACAAACAGCCCCACGGAATCACCGCGGGCAGCAGCTCCGACCTTTGCTCCCATCCGGGTGCCGCAGGTTCGGCACATCCCGGCCCCGCAGCCGTTCAGCTCCGACGGGAAAACACCGCGGCTCGTTTGGATCACAGCTCCGGAGCAAAGAGCGCCTCGTCCTGCTGCACCCCCCTGCGCCCATCGCTCCCAGCACCGCTCGTCTGCAGGCTGCTGCCCCACCGCCCGCATCTGCGGCTCCGTTCACCCACTCTGATTTTGTAATTGATTTATTTCCTCCCCTCCCTTCTTTTTGTGTTTTATTTTATTATTATCATTAGAAAAGCAGCCCCCGAGCTGTCGAGGTTTTTCTTCTCCCTCATTCCTTTGGCACGGGGCGGGGGGTGGATCCCCATCCGGGGGAACAACGCGGGGTTCCGTCGCTCCGGAGCCGAATTAACACCGCCGGTGGTCCCGATGCGCTCCGGACCCCTCAGCCGGTGCTCGGAGGGGGGGCTCCGCCCCGTACCTGCCCCCGGCCCCGCCGTCCCGCCCCCCGCCCCGTCTGTCGGTGCCGCCCCGTCCCGCCCCGTCCGCCCGGACTTTTGCTCCCGGTCGGGCCCGCGTTGTTCCGGGCCATGTGAACCATAGGATCGGTCCGTTGGGCCGTTACCGAACCGGTGTCGGTATGGAACGCAGGAAGGTCTTCGTGGTGCTCGACGTGCTCTGCGTGGTGGTCGGTGAGAACCCGCTGGGGGGCTGCTGGGCCGCTTCCCCCTCGATGGGGCGGAGGGGTGGGGGGGGACAGATGGGGTCCACGCGGACCGGGGCCGGCCGTGCCCTCGGGTGGCAGCGGGATAAGAACCAAGAGAAGCACCTGCGAGACCGCGATGCCCCGACGGGGAAACGTTCGGCCTTCGCCCCCCACTTTGGGACGGAGCGATACGAGCCGGTGAGGCCGTTCGGTCCGAGCGGAGCCCCCCCGACGGGGACACCCCGAAAACCTCCCGACGGGGTCGCTCAGACCGAGGGCAACCGCAGGCGGACCCGGGCACGGGGATGGGGATGGGGATGGGTGACCGTCGGGGCCCCGAGCGCTGTGCCCCCCCCCCGGGGCAGCCTCCGCCCAGACGCTCGTTTCTAAAAGTGCCGCTCTCAAGCACCTAATTAAGACGGATGGCCTAAAAATAAAGGCCCGGGTCGTAATTTCAGCCTCAACCTCCTGAGCTTTCTTGGGCTCTAAGCACCGGTGGGGAGAGAAAGAGAGAGAGAGGCAGGTTCCTGTTTTTTTGTTCGGTGCCCTTTTCCTCTTCTGCACCTTTTATTTTTAGGGGGAGCTTTTTTGGAGGATGGAATTACCCAGGGTTGGGAAGAAAAAAAAAAAGGAAAGAAAAAAAAGGGATAAAGAAAAAGAGCGTCTAATTTGAGCTGCAAACGAAGGGTTTGAAGTCTGTACGGAGGCGTCCGTGCATGCGGGGCTCCTCCCGCAGCCTGGGAGCCGTCACAGCTTGTTCCTGCCATGTTCCTGCCGTGTTCCTGGCCTTCTCGCAGCTCTTTTTTATTTTTTCTTTTTGGCTGCTTTCGCTTCTGTTCGGAGAGAGCCGCCTTTGGAGGCCCGGAGGCTGCGGGGTGGTGCTTTGCTGTGATTTCTTTCTCTTTTCATTTCTGCCCTTTTGCTCGGCTGAGAGCGCAGCGTGGGACCCCCCTGGGGAAGGGGCTCCGGGTGCAGGGGTGGCTGCCGGGGACAAAGGTGTGTTTTGTTTTTTCCCTGGAGACGGAGGAACAATGGGGAGGCGGAAATCGCCTTCCTGAAGGCGGAACGGGGAAAGGAGCACGGGCTTAAGGTGGACCGTAGGCAGCCCAGTCCCTGCGGGGAGAGCATCCCGTGCCCTGCGCTGTGCCCAGCAGGGAGATGCCTGAAGATGCCCGTGGTCACCCCGGCCAGGGTCCCCAAAGGGTTGAAGTGGCTGCACGACCCCATGTCAGACCCCCCCCCCCCCCCCCTGTTGCTCCTTCTGATGTTTTGTGTGGGATGGTGGCATCCACGGAGGAGCTGGAAGATGCTCATGGTCAGGGCTGGTGTGCACGGGGTGTAAAACTGAGCTGGACTAATCCAACTGGTCCCAGCATCAGTGCTGCTGGGGAGCAGGGTCAGGAGGGGGGGAGTAGCCAGGCTGGGTCACGGGCTCTGGGCTCCAGCTCTGTCCAAACCCGAACCGTGTGGGACCTGAAGGCCCTTCTGGTGTAAAACAGGCTGGCAGGATGCCTGTGCTGCTCCCCCAAGCTCTGTCCTCCTCCAGGCAGTGGGGAATGGGTCCTGGCACCAGGCAGCAGCTGGGGAACAGTGGATGCTCCATGGGTGCCCAAATGCAGCCATCTCCTGCACTAGCTCAGTTCTGCGGGCAGTTGTGAGCCCTGATAATGCTTTATCAGCTGCGGGGCCAGCGTGCTGCACTGGGTGCAGGATCCTTCCCCAGCAGTGGGGAGCAGGGATGGGGAAACCGTGTGCATTGGGTGCCTGCATGGAGTCCTTGGGAGGGTGCCCCAGTCCTCTCCCTCTCTCTCCTTTGCAGCGTCTCTGCCCTTTGTCATCCTGACGCTGGTGAACTCCCCGTACAAACGAGGCTTCTACTGCAACGATGACTCCATCCGCTACCCCTACAAGGCAGACACCATCACCCACGGCCTCATGGCTGGGGTCACCATCACCTGCACCGTTCTCATTGTAAGGAAACTTTCTGGGCTCCCTGCAGTGCCCATGTCTGGGGCTGAGACCCACAGCCCGTGAGGCTGGGTCCCTGCAGGGTGGGGGAAGGCCCCAGGAGTCTTCTGGGACCCTCACCTCTCAGCCTTTGGTCCCTGCAGATCTCCTTGGGGGAGGCATACCTGGTCTACACAGAACGCCTCTACTCCAAGTCGGAGTACAACAACTACCTGGCTGCCCTCTACAAGGTGGTGGGGACCTTTCTTTTCGGGGGGGCCATCAGCCAGTCCCTGACCGACCTGGCCAAGTACATGATCGGCCGCCTCCGGCCCAACTTCTTGGCGGTCTGCAACCCCGACTGGTCCAAGGTGAACTGCTCCATCTATGTGCAGCTGGAAAATGTCTGCCGAGGGGAGAGCAGGAATGTCACCGAGTCCAGGTGAGCCCTGGGGGCAGCCTCAGAGGGGTGGTGAGGGGTTGGCAGTCCCCCGCCATGTCCTGACCCATACCTTTGCCTGCAGGCTGTCCTTCTACTCTGGGCACTCCTCCTTTGGGATGTACTGCATGATGTTCCTGGCGGTGAGTGCTGTGTCCCCACCATGTCGGGACAGGACTGTTTGTCCCTGTGCTTGGTGACACTTCTGTCCTCTCTGTAGCTCTATGTGCAAGCCCGGCTGGTGGGGAAGTGGGCCCGGCTGCTGCGTCCCACCATCCAGTTCTTCCTCCTCGCCTTCGCCATCTACGTGGGCTACACGCGGGTCTCTGACTACAAGCACCACTGGAGCGATGTGCTGGCCGGGCTGCTCCAGGGCGCGCTCATCGCCATCCTCATCGTGAGTGTCCATGGATGTCCCCAACGCAACCGTGGTACCCGATGGAGAATGGAGGAGCTATGGGATCAGACCTGAGCCCCACCTCCTGTCTGTCCCCTCAGGTCCGCTACGTGTCCGACTTCTTCAAGCACCGTCCGCCCCGGCAGTGCGATGAGAAGGACCCGGAACGCAAACCCAGCCTGCCGCTAACCCTGAGCGACACCGACCGCAATCACTACAGCTACGCGGGCGCCCCGTGAGCCGCACGCGGGGCCCGGACTGTGGGAATGGAGGGGTGGGGGGGGAAAACATGGAGCCTGGTGCCCACCAATGGCTTCATCGCACTGCGCCGCAGCCCTGCCCTTCCCCGATCCCAGCAGCGCCACGGCTTTGGGATCTGTGGGGCAGGGGGAGGCCTTGGGCCTGGGCTGGGGTCTGCGGGGCCTGGGAGCAGGGCAGGGGGAGGCCTTGGGCCTACACCAGCACTGTGAGGCCTGGTCCAGCGCTCTGAGGCCTACCCTGAAGCCTATTCCTGCACCTTAAGGCCTGTCCTGGGGCCTATCCTGAGGCCTATCCCTGCACCCTGAGGCCTGTCCCAAGGCCTGTTCCCACACCTTAAGGCCTATCCCAAGGCCTATCCCAAGGCCTGTCCCAAGGCCTGTTCTCACACCTTAAGGCCTGTCCTGAGGCCTATCCTTGCACCCCCAAGGCCTGTTCCCATACCTTAAGGCCTGTCCTGAGGCCTATCCTGAGGCCTACCCTGCACCCCAAGGCCTATCCCCGAGGCCTATTCCCACACCTTAAGGCCTATCCCAAGGCCTGTTCCCACAGCTTAAGGCCTATCCCGAGGCCTATCCCTGTGCTCTGTGCCTTATCCCTATCAAACACTACCGCCTTAGGAGCACAACCCCTCACAGCACAACACAAGGAGAGCAGCCTGCTGGGCGAGCACTGCTTTTTGTTTTTCTTTTCTTTTTTTTTTTTTTTTTTTGAAAGGATTGAAGCAGCCCAGAGCTTGGCTGTGTTCCCTGATGAGCTTTAATGGCCGTTTGGTGCAGGGCAGGGGGAGGCCTTGGGCTCCAACCCTTTGGGTGCTGTGGCTTCGGTGTGTCCTCTGTGGGGTGGTCGGGGCAAGGAGAAAATCTTCTGTGGTAAAGGGGGTGGGGGGTGGGGAAAGGGACGTGGAGCTGCACATGGGGCTCTTATCACTGGGGGAAGGTGGGAAATGGGCCGCATCCGTCCTGGCTCTGAGCTGCAGCCGCCTCTGGCATGGGCGAGCTGTGGGCCCGGAGAGAAGCGACAAGCGTTTGCATGATGATGTGTTTTTGTAAAAATGTGTTTTTTAAATTAGATCATCGAGAAAGAATGTCTGTCTCGGGCCTGCTCTCTTGCTCCATGGATGCTCCTGACCTTGGGGCTGAAGAACTCAGGGCTGCGGCTGTGGAGGGGACAGGCACTAAAGGAAGAGCCCACAGTTCTGGGAGAGCACAGGGCTGAGCCCTGGGGCTTTGAGCAAGGAACAGCAGGGCTGGAGGGAGCACTGGGGCCCTGGGACCAAGGGGGGTGGTTCCAGGACCCCTCCTGGTGCAGGGACCTGTGGCCCGGTAGCTCCAGACCCAGCGCTGCCTTGAGCCTAGGGGAGCCTCCGCGCTTCCCAGTGTCTCAGTGAGGGGGAAGGGAAGGTGGCTGGAATCGCGTGGAAAAAGTGACGTTGTGTGCCTGCAGCTCCTTGTACTTCTCCGGGTGCCAGAGCTGGGGGAGGCGCGGAGCTGCCCGCAGCCCTCCCACTGAAAAAGGGGAGTGGTGGGGGTGGACAGTGGCCCCCACCTCCAGCATGGGGCTGCTCTGCTTGGAGCCGGGCAGGGATGGGGCTCACAGCTGTGTCTGATGCGGGGCAGGGACAGCCATGTCCCACGTCCGTGGCTGTCCCGCTGTGTCTTGCAGAGCTCTTGTGGCATGGGAAGGCTGGGCAGACTCTGTGCCTGGCACACTGGTTGTACCCAGGGCTGGCAGATGGGGCCCAGGAGCAGCAGGGTCCCCCTTTGCACAGCTGGGTCCCTCCTGCCTGGGCACAGCAGACTCTGCGTGTGCCCCAGGCTCGCTGTTGGTGCTCTTACAGTGTGGGTTGCTCCAGTCTAGACAAGCCCTGACCAAAACCGCCTCCTGCGTGGAGGGAACTCCCTCTCTGCATGCTGCTCTTCTGTTGATCGGAGAACTTTCCTCCCTGGTCCCTCAGCCACATCCCTTCTCCTGTCCCTGCCCTCTGCGCTGCTCCTTCCTTATCTGATGATACAAAACAATGCAGCGGAGCTGCTAGGGCCGGAGGGCAGGGCATCTTGGCTACAGTTTGCAAGTAAAGGAGTCGGGGAAATGCAGCACAGCCCAGCATGGGCACTTGGCTCTGGGTCTGTGATCAGTCTCGGGGTGGGAGCTTGGATGGCAGCAGTCGCCAAGGGCCGTGGTGCTCAGTCCCAGCTCCTGGCATTGCCTCGACAGCTCTGCACAGCCAGGAACGTGCCTGCTCCCTTCCCCTGAGATCTGATTTCGCTCCTTGGATCCATCTCTGGAAAAACCAGCTGGGCCACAATGCAGCAGTGTGCGGCTCAGCGTGGAGGGCAGGGCTGGGCTGGAGCACGGGGAGCTCACTGCGTCCCTGCCTGAGGCTCTGGCTCAGCACACAGCCAAAGCCCCTGGTACCCTGCCATGGGAGGGAGCTCCACAGCCACGTCTGGATGTGGTGAGGGGCTGGGACTGTAAGCAGCCTCTCCACAATCTAAGGAAGGAGTGGGGATGCCAATGGGGCACTGTCTATGCACTGGACCTCGGAACCAGAGGCACCAGCCAGGTGCTGGGGAAGATGGAGCAGTGGATGGGAAAGATGGAGCAGTGCCTCAAGCAGCTTCCAGGCCTCAGTATCCCCACTCCAGGTTTGCTGTTGCACCCAGCCCGATGGCTGTCGGGAGCTCTGGGTACCACGCTTGGCATTCAGGCTTGGGGAAGGGCGAGCCGTAGCCCTGGGCATTGCGCTGCCTCTTGGCCAGAGCATCCAAAGCCCTCTGCAGGAGTGACTCAGGCGTTAGGGATGCAGTGCTGGGGCAGACCGTGCCCCAGGCTGAAGCCGAGCAGCGTTGGCCTGCGAGCAGTGCCAGGGACCTGCTCTGAGAGCCATCCTGTTCCCAGCGGCAGCTCCGCACGCTCAGCCAAGACATCTCCATTCCAAAAGCAGCCGTTTCTGGCAGCGCCGAGCCAGGCTCTGGCTCCCAGCCCTGGGCTGCCTCCCCCAACCTGTGCCTCCTGCTGCCACGCTGCATCCTCCCTCCCCTCCCCCTGGCACCTGCGGCTCCTCCACCCCCCGGTGCCGGTGCCAGTGGGTCCATCTGGGTCCGTTTGCCCTGCCCTCAGCTCCGGGTTGCCTCCCGCTCTTGGCATCCTTCCCAGGCTCTTGGGGTACGGGGCTGATCTTCCCGGTGCCCCCAGCGTGCTTCCAGGAGTGGGCAGAAGCCTTGCCAGGAAGGATGTTACTCATCCTCTAAACATCCTTTTCCCTGGCCGGCAGCCACAAGAAGGCTGCCAGCAGATGAGCAGCGGGAGCACGAGGTGGTCCCCGCTTGGGGAGGGGACTGATACCCACGGGGGGGGGTCTGCACCTTTTGATGGGGATGTTTGCAGCTCCCCGTCCCAAGCGCAGCATGGAAAAGGGGAAATTGACCCCCATCAATTGACCCCAATCAATGACACCCATCCCGAAGGTGGCTGTGTTATCCAAGGTCCCCCAAGCAGTGCCGGTACCAACCCTTGTGTTCTGCTGGGAGCTTGGGGGGAGCACCGGTGTCCTCACTGTGCTGCAGGTTTGGAACAGCCCCGGTTTGGTGTTGCCGTGCTCAGCACAGAAGGGCAGCACAGCTCCCGGGCGCTGCAGCCCTGGCAGTATTTAAGAGATTCCACGGATTGAGGATGAGAGGGCAAAAGGAGGAATGGGGTTCAGCTGAAGAAAGGGGGAAAAGTTCGGTCGGGTTAAGGGGGGGGGGAGGAATTCATCACTCGGAGGCCCGGAGGAAAATCCCCGCAGCGGCTGCGGGCGGCAGAGGGCGGTAGGGATCCGACG